CATGGAGGTATTTTTTTTTTATTTTACTTTTTACTTATGTTCAAACCTTTTAAATCGATTAGTAAGACACAATTCAAGTTAACAAAGAAAACATGAAGGAATCGCATGAACTCCAAAGGTGCTATACCTTATGCGTCGCAGTGTTATCGTCTTCTGTTTTGCATACATCACCCATCATGCGAATTCAAACTCAGTCATAATAATTTCATATAATATATCAGGCTGATCATTTTATTAGCAAGACTATCGTTATGTCTACATAAGAGTCATACGTGGCACTCAAATCCAAACAGCTGTCATGTCAAATAAAATACTACAAAGCTGAATAGCATTGATAAACAAAAAGTCCGAAACATTTAGGCAAATACAATTAATGCAGTTGGGAAAAGAACAAACTTGGTAAAATTACAGATTAAACGACTATACTGGTCTCTAAAGGTATAGGACAGGGAACTATGTGAGTTGAGACACCGACACATCGTATCCATCAACCGATTCGTGACAATGACTGCAAAGCTTATGTAGTGTCGATTTTAGTTGTTCCATCTCATAACTCTGTTTGGGCATTTTATTTATGTTAAGCGTAACACCCCTGATATTGCAGTCCGAATAGTGTAAGAATGTATGAGTGTAATATATTTACTGGGATATGTAAACGGCAAACGATGATGCAGACGGTATGAGAAAAGGAATGCTGGATTTTCTCCCTGTGTTGAAGACTCATTGGTGGTATTCGGTTGTTTTTTACTCTTTTGTAGGGTTGTTGTCTCTTTGACAAATTTTTCATTACCATTCTCTATTTTACGTTGTCAATTTAAGAGTTGAAATCACGTTTATCATATATTCATTCTAGTTTAAATTCGTCCATATGTGTCAATTTCGACAAAAATATTACGATATAAAACAGACATTTTTTCAGGTTGTATCCTTAATCTCAAATTAACGAAGATACATGTATATAAGATAACAGCAATCATTAAAATGTAACTTATTGAGTGATAGAGAATCATCATTTTTATCTAAAAGTGAAATTTAAAAATGTGCAAAATGGCTTACTTGATGTGTCTGAGAAGATCGGTCAGTCGATTGTGGTGCACAATTCTTATTCATTGGAATACCTACTGAAATATCAATTCACCAAACTCATCATATATGAGGTAAAATAAAATATTCAGAATCTTTACGATATCACCTTTGGTGTATTCGTTTTATGGAATCAGTGTGGTTCTTCACAAAGTAAGATTTTTCATGACCAAAACAACGAATTTGCATCTATGTTTCCCATTTTTTAAGCTCTGTTTTATGAGACTATGTAGTCGACTTTTTAATAGAGCAAAAGGAATAGTAGTGTAAGGTGTAACAAAATCAAAGGTTTTGATATTCCTGTGAGATTGTAATTGAAGATGTCGGAGTTAATCGTTATAATTGTTAAGGATTGACAACGCTGGTTAAATAAACATCGTTTCGATATTTCTGAAGACCATCTTTCATTGCGGAAAGAATGATTGACATCGTCCTTTTTTTAGAGACCAAATGAACCCCTCTTCCATTAATGATTAATGATCTATTCTATAATAAATCATTCCAAGTAATAATGTATGCATATAAAACTAACGAGGCTTAGTTTATGCATATAGATCTAATGAGGCTTTGTCAGTCGGAATAACATAATAATCGTCGAGTAGAGAAGATAAAGCATCCACAACCCCGGACTAAATGAAAGGGTAGAAACCCGTGAGGTTATTGTACATTGTAGGTTTTGAATGCGCTTCTAAATGCATGACCGAACAGTGACCTGATGTTTTTCCGATGATGGGATTAGGAATTTAATGTTTATGGTCTTTGGCTAATAATTCTCTACGTTATTCATTGTTTTTGATGCCGAAGTTTTTGTTGTGAATATCCTCTCGTAATTATGTATGGAGGGAAATATAATATTCATAGATATTTCGTTTTGTTTACGTAATGGTTCCCAGATATGATCTCTATGTTACATCTCATAGAGACATAACTTGGGAATGTTACCAGTATAAAAATATATTGTTGCGGTAAAAATTGAATTCTGAAGTAGGCACAAAGTAAAGGTAGGGGTAGAACAGAATAAGTATAAGTTTAAACTCTAAAAAGTTCGGGGCATATAGATGTTGAAAATATGCCGCACAGCCCTATGTTTTGACCTTTGAATAAAATAGTAGTGCATTTCAACTTTCCATTCTAGAATATATTTTTTTACGAAACTTCATAGTAAAAGTGGCACAGTTTTAGCCGCAAAGGGAGTTCCTATGGGAAATTGCATTGTCTATATTTACAAAAATGCAACCTATAATAAATGGGAAAATTAAAGTTGTGAACTCTCGTGCAAATTCCAATTAAATATTCTACTGTTTTAGCAGATATATCCCTAGATGTATTAAATGAAGTACAAGCCATTCTATACTTAGTTGTGTGGGACAGTAAAGATGTAGAATTAAAATAAAAAATAATATACTCAAATTTTAAGGATGGTGGTGTAAAGATGCTACATTTAGAATCCTTTATAATGATGATGTGTTTATTTAAGAACTGAATGCTTCTTTTTGTAAATTTATTGGTGTGTTAAACCGAAGTACTTTTTGTATTTTTAAAATGTGCGCACGGTCAACGTTTTTACAACCTTATAAAATTACCAAAAGCAAATTTCGGCTTCAAAACACGACCATTAATTAGCTGCCATATTTTCACAACAACACTGACCGAGTGAACTATTTTTTGGACGATTTTACGAAATAGATGCGTAAAAAATGATAAAATCAGGCACAGAAGACTAACTTTATGATATATATGCATGTACTTCAATGTGGAAGCTCGTGTCACCATGAATGTTACATTTCGTTATGTAATGAAGGTTAATTTCAGAATGACGAGAGAAGCTGTTAGCCAATCAAAATAACGTATGAAACATACATAAAATGTAGTTATTAAAGAATCACATAAGATGCTATGAATAAAACAAGTTATAGACCCTTTAAATTATTCTTCATGGCGGGTGTTATTGACAGATCATCCTAAAATGGTACTTGTGAAAGGAGAAGAAAATGTTTGGTTAATATCAAAATTAGTACTCAACAAAATTAAAATGAATTAAAAATATTTAACTCAAAATATAATTGTAAACCTCTGTTCACAGCCTTCTTTGATATCTTGTCTCAACCATTGATTTTTAATGATAATATTATGATTAGTGGGAAAACAACTTTTTTCAATACTTGGATAAAGAGAAATATATATTGCATATGTTATTCATTCATAAGTCACTATCATACTAAATACATTTTGTCACAAAAAATGTTAACGCTATAAAACAGTAGATACAGTAACAACACATTGTTATAAAATTGTCTAGACTAAATAGAGGAAAACCCATCTCGTATACAAGAAAATTGAAAACAAAACTGGGAATCGATATATATTTTGGCTGAAGGATATAGTTCCTCTTTTATTCTTATTCTTCCACTAAGGGCATTTCAATATGGATTACACCGTAGAATACTAGTCATACTAGGAATAAATACTTTTCCAATGAAAGATAAATATAGTGAAAAGGTACTGTGCACGTCTTGTACGGAAACAGAAGAAACATATAAGCATCTCTTTTTTGAATGTAGATATTTTCGTACTTTCTGGCTAATTTTTTGTCTTCAAAATTTGGAAGAGATATGTTGTATAAGTTTTCAACCAACTGTATCAATTATAAGCTTAAGTGTTAATTATCATGTATTTAAAGAGATATTCTTGTTTTTTTTTTATGTTGATAAGTCATGTTTACTTAAGCCGAGTTAAAATTGAAATTCCAACTGTTTTTGAAGCAATGGAATGGTCTTTATTATAGGATTAGCATGGCCCATATAAGTTTGTGCTCGACAAATATAGCAAATAAAAAAAAGAAAAATGATCAAACATTTGTAATATTATATAAAAAAGTCTTAAAGATGTATTCATCTTTGTATTATTGACTGATTTATTGAGACAATTATTATTTACCATATATTTATGAGTTTTGCTCATTTTTTGTACATTTTTATTTGGCAATGGGACTCGAGAATTAAGATAAGAAATAAAAATCTTTTTTATATCCCTTTATGTCATATACCACCTCAAATTTCAAAATATATGTATCAATTGCTTTCAAATTTCTTGGTTTAAAGCGCTGCTAATAAGGTGACAAAACCCATCAAAGATTCCAGACTTATTTTGATATTTCCTGTCAACACGAAAGTGCTGACTACTGGGCTAGTGTTAACCTTTGGGACTTAATTTCAAATAGCAGTTGCCTAGACGCAATGGTTGTAAAACCTCATTAAAGGTACCTGTCATATGATTGTGTTCGTCAGATGCGTATTTTGTCTACATCAGATTCATCAGTGACGCCCGAATCAAACCAGTAATGAAATCAATACGAAGTTGAAGATCATTTAAAACAAAAAATGCCAGAGACTATACCTAGGGGCAGACTTTAGTGATTCAAATAATTCAACGTTTTATGAACAGTATTTACGTCAAGGATATTTCATGCCAAAAGTGCTGAATACTGGGCTGAAATATACGTCGAAAGAACCACATGTATATAAAGTGCTATTTTGATTTTGTAACAGAACAAGTTTACTGATTAAAGCTTCTGGGTTTACTTCTACCTTTGTACTTCGACCTTACTATATATATATAATATTCCAGTGACGATCCTTCTCGTTCAAAACACAGCGATGTTTAGAAGCGGCGGTTCAAGTTAAAAAATGTTTTCATAATAAACTCACGGATGTGAATGACAAGGGGATCAAACTCAAAAGTGTACAAGCCGTCAATAAGTCTATCAAAATCTTCAAACTAATTTAAACACGAATGACTCTTTCATTGCTTCTTACAATCTTACCACTTATTACAAAACGTACGCTTATTTAGAAATAAAAGGAATCGTGACATACATACAATCAAGAGGAAACATACTAAAGGAACGATTTTTTTATTATGTTGTATCCATAATACTACATGATTACAAATAGGATAATTGAGTTCAACAATTTCAGGATAGGACACATTTGTTTTTACGCTTTAATCTTATAACACCCTTTGATGCATTGCTCATGACACAACTTCCAGCCCCGCCTACAATTGCTCCAAATACAGGATTTCCAAAAAATAATCCACCAATTGCTCCAACTGTAGACCCGATTCCTCCTCCTACAAATGTTGCTTTCAAATAATCCAAGTTACTTCCTTGGCAAGCGATATTACGTTTGATCATTGCCCACTTCCTATTTCCCATAGACGAATTTGTGTCTGCCTCAATGCACTTCAATTGCAGTTGATCTGTAACATCGCGGAGTATTTCATTTGAATAGTATTCAGTTTTGTTTTTGGTAAGCAATTTCTCAACCATCTCTAAGAGCTCTATCCACTGGTTTTCGTTTTCCTGTAATGTATTATCGATAAAAAAACCATCTATTATCTATTTGGTAAAGAAAATCTCTCATCCATTTTGGAACTTCACATATAAACTCAGCTGTGGTTTTTGTAACTAAGCTGTCTTTTCCAGTAAAACATGCTATCACATGTTTAAGCGCATCACCAGTGAAAATGTCATGAAAATCCCTCAGCGTCTGTTCTTCTTCCTTTGTATATTTTTCTCTACAACTTAGGACGTAAAGAATCACGTGTGGACCAGGCGCTATCATCCCAAACGATTCAACTATTTCAAGTGCAACTTTCTCAACCAACTTCTTTGGATCTGTGTCAAAAAAACCTGGTGTATCAACAACTTCAATCACAGTTGTGTCATCCCACATCATTTGTGCTAGACCCCCTTTTTGAGTTATTGATGACGGACTTAGCCATGATCCAAAGCCGGTATATCCTATTATTGAGTTACCAACTGCGCGTTTTCCATTCCCAGTTCTTCCAACTAATATTATTCTGATTTTTCTTTCATATGCACGAGAATTCTCTTCCTAAAACAGGTTCGTTTTATTAGTATCATTGGTATTCATTTTCAGTTGGAGGAGTGTTTTATATTTGTTCAAAGTTAATAAAAAGATATTCAACAATGGACAATTTCCTATTCAATATATCAAGTCTGTATAGTCCCGAGACTTTAACAATTGCAAAATATCTAGCACACTATAATAGATCAATTTAGCAGAAGACGAAAACCGGCGAGGTGTATGCCTTTCATCGTCGGGTTTATAGCCAGAACGATTTTGAAAACGTTTAAAATGAAAAATATGTTGTAGCCATGGAAATTTTTGCTCAAACCATGTTCATTTAAAATCCGCGAAAATATACCCGCGCGAATAGCGTTTAACCAATAGTGATACAAAAGGTGTACTTTACTGTGCGATTCACGAATATTACTCCAACGCGAATAGAATATGTATTGAAATCAAGACAATATGCATATTTATAGAAGGTTTAATCACCTCATTGTTTTGATTATATATGTTTCTATGGTTATGATAACGAAAAAAGAAATCATAAATAAAAGTAAACGTAGACAAAAAATTAATTATAGGAATGTACAACATGCAAAAGCCAATATTTCAAAAGAGTTTCAAACACTACTCAGGAATATCGATTTTCTCTCTCGTCTAAATTAAACAAGACATGTGATGATTTTTCTTAATAATTATAACTTTTGATGAACTTGTGAAATGCATTAAGATTTTACCTAAATTTAGTGTGTGGAAGGAAACTCATAATGATTTACTCTAAAAGAGAGGCGAAAGATACCAAATGGACATTCAAACTCACAAGTCCAAGGCAAATATGATGATTTCAACTTTCCAACGGTTATCTTCCAATTCATAAGTAAATACATTCCAACTGCACCATTGCGTTTACATATCTTAACAAATTATACATATTCACACAATATAAATATTGGTGTACTCTTGACACAATAAAATTGAGAATGGAAATTGAGAATATGTCAAATAGACAACAACCCGACAAAAGAGTAGATAAAAGCGAACATGCTTTAACAGAGTCGAACGTCCGAAATCAACAACTTTTAAGTTTTACGGTCATTAACATGAATGGCTGACTGATACCATGTGCCTCAACTCAGTATTGACATATTTTCACGATTATTATCTTAAGATACAAGAAAAGTTTCTGATCTGTAAATGATCCAAATATGTCCTTTTCGCGAATTTAACATTCTCGCTAAGTGGAGATTCAGATTGGGCTTGATGCATTCATTGCAGGATACGCCTAACATAACGACGCATCCGGATTCGCTTTTTTGAAGTTCACGCGATTCCCTCGGTATATGTTTTTACATTGATTTGTTTTTTGAATGATTTTAAAATTGGTGTACCACTGTTGTCTCTAATCAAATCTAGACATTGAAAATGTGGGTAATAGTTTCGACAAAAGAGCTTAGTTCTTTTCCTGTTGTGAACTTTCCGTTTTTATATAGAAAAGGTCTAGCGGAACCAACACATAGAGTAAACATCTATCACTTAATGGCATACGATGCAATAATGATCTCACGGTGATTTTTTTACGAAAATTTGCGTACAAGCTATTATTCATCTAGTCAATTCAAGCATCTTCTTATTTATAAGTAACAATAAAAACTTTCATGGGCTACATTTAGATAGATGAGCTAGAAATTTTTGACATTTACTAAAGATTTCGTTTTCTTTGATATTTCTATCGTTTAGACAGACAAACATACTTTAATTTTAATGTTTCAAAAGATAAACACATGCAGATTTTTTATCAAAGATAAAAAATATCTTCTTTAGAAAAGTATGCTTCAAGGCAACAGTTCTTTGGAAATTATTTATTGCTAGCAAATTTACATACTTTTATAAAAAAAAACCGGCATTTTTTATTGAATGTATTTAACTTATTAAAAAAAAAAACTTCGGTGATTTGTTCATAAAAATATGAACAAATATATTTCATACATAGTCAAGGTAAATGTTATTTCAAAAAACAATGGCCTTTGTCCTCGTTTTTAAGCTAATGATTGAAATCACTTGTGAAATGCATCTTTTTCTGACATGTCACAGTTTGACGTCGTGAAAAATATCATTTTACGTTAGCAACGTCATAACCATCCCTGTAATTGTCTCATATGCCCTTAAATGGATTCCTGCGATCTTATTTTTCCTATTATAAATCATGAAATTTATTGGACGCCTTTACGACTTAGTTTATCGTTATGTATTATGTTTGTATAAGCTGACCACTGCTATGTTCTATTTGTCGTAGCCACATCCCTGTCTTCATTCCTATACAATACAGACAAATCGATTCACCATTGTATATGTACATGTCATAAGCAACACGACAAGCTCACCACTTGTTGAGTGAAAATTCAAAAATGGAAACAGCGCTTTACAAACTACTTCTCTAAAGTCTCTAGATTGAGAATCTTTCTACATGTGTGAAATTGTAATGATTTAACAGACAGCTCTAATGTAAGTGTATGATTAAGCAACAATTCGTTTCGTATTGATAGGTGTAAACATCTCACCTCTTCTTCGTACTTTCGTCTTCTAGGAACTGTAAATGAAGTAATTACAATAAATAGCGGAAAATACAGCATAGAATGATAACAATACATCTAATATGATTAATGATGATAATGAACTTTAACGAGTAACATCACAAACCACATGCCAACATAATTATATTTTTGGTTGCTCTGTAAGTACCATTCACGAAATCAAGGTCCAACATTTAAAAGGGTTCATATCAACTGATCATCTGTTTTGATGAGTAGGAACATTCATACAAAAGACGATCTGATAAAACAAAATTGAAAATATATCCCGCCGACACCAATTTTCAAAGTGAAAGTCCACATTGGAAATATTTAGGCCTCATGACATACATTATCGAATACTTCAGGGATGTTTTGTTAGTGGAAAACAGAAAACAAATTTAAAGTTTGAGAAATGTTTATTAGTGAGCAGGGGTGCTTCCAGTAATTTGTAACGGGGACAGTTTTACTTTTGGTAGTTTTGGATCTAGAAGTACAGTTCTTTGGGAGAGGGGGCTTATTCAGATAACATCCGATAAAAGAAATCACAGAATCAACACGAACATTAAAATAATCTGATAACGATGTAGATCCTGTGTCCACGGTCTGTGTTTCAATTAGATTTCAATAACTGATTGCAAGTTGCTAGAATTGAAACCACTATATATCCGCTACATGTTTTGCATGATCCCTGTTTATAATTGGAATCTTTAGCTAACCTTATAGCAAAAAATATTTACAGATCGACTTTAAAACATACTTGTGTTGAATTTGCTTCGCTCATGGCTTTATCAATAAATGATTGTATATCTACTGTATTTTCTTCATGTAATAGACTTCGATTTAAAAGGAAATTTTTATTACATGTTGAGATAACATATACAGTACCAATTTTTCAGCACCGGATGCGCATTTTGACAATAAATGTCTCCCTAGTGATGCGCGAGGTCAAAAGATTTAAAAAACAAAAATCTTATTAAAAATGGAGAGCTTATATATAAAAAAATACATGAAGTATAGCCAAAGCCGGGATAACATGCATCATCAATTATATTTGAATCATAAGGACAAATTAATTACTAGTGATAGCTATTGATAAATTAATCAAAATTTTAAAATTTAATCTTTATGATGCACCATTTTTAGCCAACCTCAATGGTGTCACGTTGACCAGTGACACATCTTTATCCGCCTCCGCAAGAGTACTTCAACATACTTGAAATTTAAAATGACAGTTATAATATTTTTAATTCTATTTTAATCGTTCTTGACATATGAAGTTATTACCTTCGGATTGTTGAATGGATAAATCATATTCTTCTTCTCCTTCTTCCATACCTAATTAATGTATAAAGTAAATTAAGATTAAAAGCATAAAACATTAGCTAAACTGTTTATGATTTTCTTTTCATATCCTTCAAATCTAAACACTTAAATGAAATAAAAAATCGTGAACTGTAATGATAAAGTATTCATTTGTACATTTCTCGCGAATGGATCCATGTTTATGTATTATAGATACAATAAATAAGCGTTGATTATTGAAAAAATACAACGAACTCTTCCATTGCGTCCATAACTTAAACTATTGTGTTGATGTCTTTTCACAATAAAAGCCTTTTCTTAATTAGAAGGTATTGTAAGGGAGTTGAAATAACCATGTTATCATATTCGACGATGCATTAAGGTGCTTACTTATTTGGGTTTTTAACGACCTCGACTGGCTATAAAGCCATCGCACAGTCGGTGTGCATCAGGGTGGCAGGGATGTCTTGCTCCATCTTGGATTTTGAAAAGTAGATAACAATCGGGCTAGATCGATCTTTACTGAAATGGGAAAATTTCGAGAGTAGTATGTAATTCATGTGTAACAATTTTCGTGTTAATATAGAAAATCATGTGTTTTATCGTATTTACGTTTGTATCTTACAAAAAAAAACCTGATTTTTTTGTTTGATTTACTTTTTTTCAACGCTGTCACGTAAGGAGAGGCAACTAAGATATAAGGGTAGATAACTCAGATAAAATAATTTTTATTATAGAATGTGTTGTGATTTTGCCTATTTTATTGTGTAGCAAGAAAACGAGTCCGGTGGCCCAATTTTTCTTTCCTTATCTGAAAGCATATTATAAAAACGATCTTCTCATATTTTATCTTTAAATTATGTGGTGTAGTTTTCTTACTATCACACAAAATTGGGTTTTCCATTCATAATTTATACAAAATCTGACAATATTGCACAACCCGTAGCATGAAATAACGCCCGGTGTCCAATTCTTTTTATTATATTTTGAAATAAAAATTCTATGGATTTTAATTTAGTCAATAAACGTCTGATTTTAAATTATTATGCATCTGAGTATTATCCGTTATTTACACAATAAGACATATTCGAACATGTCGAACTTATTTCTGAGTGTATATGACAAGTATGTTCCCGAAATTTCTAGCAAGAAAACTAATTCTAGGCGATTTGCTCGCATAGTGATTTGCGAATTAACACATGTAAAGAAATGTAGTAAGACAGATGTAATCATACTATATATATAAAACAAAAATGGACAAATTGAATGTAATACTTTCTTTTCATATAACTGAAATAGCCAATAATATTCCAATTTGAAAAATAAATGGGAAAACCAGTTATTCTTATAAAAATCCACAATAACATACAAAATAATAAAAACAGAAAAACTCAAGAAAATTGACAACAGAGAGAAAACAGAGATTAGAATCTAAACCGACACGTCTCTGCTTCTAAATTGACTCTATAACTCATTGATCTTAACCTCGCAGCTACCAATTAATACTAAACTGTTGTATAATATGTATTTATAAAGTTACAAGCCCTGTGTGTTCGTTGTACCGATATGTATCATATGTTCATTTATATATATAAAATACACATTTAAATTGCAACCCATTGGCAGCAGAGATGTTTCGTCAATGTGTTGATGTCAGGTACAAAATTCAGATTTCAAGAAGGGGTTTGATTCCCACTGAAGACATGTACAAATTGCAAAAGTTCAATTAGTTTTTCAATTAATTTCTTTAGTGAACAGAAATCAGTAAATTAGCAAATTCAAACTTAAACTTTGGCTTGAGATATAGCGGGAGGGTTGAGATCTCACAAAACATGTTAAACCCCGCCGCATTTTTGCGCCCGTCCCAAATCAGGAGCCTCTGGCCTTTGTTAGTCTTGTATGTTTTTTAATTTTAGTTCATTTATATGTTTTGGAGTTTAATGTGACGTTCATTTTCATTTAACTAGTATACATTTTGATTAGGGGCCAGCTGAAGCCCGCCTCCGGGTGCGGGATTTTCTCGCTGTGTTGAAGACCCATTGGTGGCCGTCGGCTGTTTTCTGCTGTTTGGTCGGGTTGTTGTCTCTTTGACACATTCCCATTTCCATTCTCAATTGTATTAAAGAAATTAGGCACACAAAAGAAACAATTGTATATAATTAATTCAATTTCACCGACAGATTTAGAAAGCGTAGATTCTAGAAAAGAATTCACGGTAAATGCATAGGCTGGACAATGGTTTAAGTATAACATATCAATCTTCATCCGTGCTATTGTATTATTAACCAGTCGTGATCCATATCCATATAATGTTATAACTGATCTATCGTGATCCATATCAAGGTATAATTGATCAATCTTGATCTTTGTTTATGTTATAACTGATCGTTTGTAGTTTGTGATAATGATTAATCATAATGCACGATGCTTGATAAATTGAATACTAGTAAAGTTAGTAGTAGAAGTATAATTTTTTATTTTTATTTTAAACAGGAATAGAAGTCAGAACACTTGAAGGTTGTCACTATTCATAAATTTTTTTGTTCTTGTTTTTGTTGGTTAGAAGTCATCGACCTCCTTAACCAACTAGTAGGAACAGATTAATAGAAAGATCAATCTTGTACAAACCATAGATAAATAGTCGGAAGTTGTTAGCATTCTTATTGTTTCTTATAGTCAATGTTTCAATATCTTTTCTTAACATTGAGGCAATGACCATCTTTTGTTGGAGCGTATTTTACAAAAGGAAGGTAAATGTGATATGTTTATAAAGTCTGGAAAAATGAGAAAACAAATCCTCAAACAATTTCATAATCGCACGTGCACAATTTCAACGTGTATGCATTTATCTTGTGCGATATCGATTACATGGGTTACAAACTGTAGAAAAAATTAATTAAAAAAAAATTAGGTATCCATTTTATAGCCCGTCCGCCCACAACCGCATTTGCTTTACCGACGAATATCACAATACTATAAGCCGGTTTTGGACTTCATCCGATACGTCCAATAATTAACATTGATTTTTTTTTGAAAACTCTGGTTTCCTTATGATATTTAAATTTTACGGACGCCATCACGAGTTGGTTGACCGTTTCACCAATAATAGCAGATATGTTTATTTGGTCGTAACTACAATCCCGTCCCCATTTCCCCGAATGTGACCTACCGAATTAAGACTTATTACCGGGTTTGTAATAACATGAGCAACACGAGGGATGCCACATGTGGAGTAGGATCTGATTACCCTTCTTGAGCACCTGTGATCACCCCAGTTTTTGGTGGGGTTCGTGTTGCTCAGTCTTTAGTTTTCTATGTTGTATTTTGTTTACTGTTGTTTGTCTGTTGGTCTTTTTAGACATGGTTTTAGACATGAGGTTGTCAGTTTATTTTTGACTTGCGAGTTTGAATGCCCCGTTGGTATCTTTCGCCTCTCTTCTACTTTTAATTGTTTTTAATTTAAATTTAAAAGATTGTTTGTCTCGAGAAAACACTCGTTTTTTTCTAAAAATGTGCAGGTAAGAGAGCGTCAGAAGTGAGAATTGGTCCGTGAGGTGCCTATCCTTACAATATTCTTTAGGAACAACTCAACGTTGTAAGAAACTTTTTGATCAGTGTAAAATGTCTTGCTGAAGAAACAGTTTAAAATAACCAAGTAGTAATTCGTAGATGAAATTTTAAATACATTAATTAAGGTCTAGTTTAAAATGTTTCAAACTTAAAATATATAAATGAAGTCGGTTCCATCTGGGTATCGTAAGATTATGTGAGCGTTAGACCAATGAATATAATTAACAATTCAGCAACCTGCATGGAGAAAGCTTCATTGAATGTGATACAAAGTGAGAACATCATATGTGTTTACCAACATATGAATAGCGTATGTGAATAGAAATTTCAAAAGCATTTAATTTACAAGAAACACAGTTCTTTGCTCATTTTCAAAAAAGGAAATTAAACTTGTTGCTATGGTGTTATAAAATTTGTCAAAGAAAGCTTTAATTGAATAATGTTAAAGTGGCATTTCGAAGTATTTGTGAAGAAAAAGATTAACCATTTACCTTGGCTTCTTTATTCGCTGGCAACTACGTTATCGTTTGAAGTGAAAAATATTAGAATCTACATATTAAATATATATAAAAAGATCACTGCTCAATAGGTTTTCCTCTGTCAACAGAATCTTAAATATATCATAATAAATGTACTGTATCAAATGCATAAATGAGATTTTATTTTGTGAACTACTCCTTACCAACTGTTACGCTTCGCATGCTATGTGGTGTAGAGACATGCATCATAAATTCAAGTTAAAAAACAAATTAAAAAAAAAAGAATTAAAAGCTTTCTTTGACAAATTTCATACTTACTTCATTACAACAAGGTTATATTACATTTCCCGAAAGAGAGCACAAAGGTGCATGTGCAGCTTCCCATATTAGGTGTAATACCCCCATTGATTTTCCCCTATTAGTCTTTGTTAAATTTGCACTTTTCAAAAAATTGTGCAGAATTTATCTTTGTTTCAAATAACGAAATACTTGGCATGAGTAAAGTTTTATCCTGTCCAGTACTATAGACAAAATTTCACAAAACATTTCATTGCATATAAGAACATAACCATCACTGGAAGTTAACCAATCAAATTTTCACCTCTTTTTTACCTGTGTACAAGCTTTAGTAACCATGTAACCTCAAGTTTCCAAAATATTCTATAAAAAATTTTCAAATTTTGTCCACTAAAACATTCGAAATGGTGTCTGTAATATTCTTTACTTAAATACATCATTTAGACTATCATTATGTACAAAAAAGTTAACTGAAAACTAAACATAGTAATACAAATAAGTTAAAAAATACTAACCTCAAATTTAACTCAAAAAGTTTTAACACGTCAACTCTTTCCTGAATAGTGTTGCTTTTAATCTATGTATTACTTTTGTAAACCTGTACTTCCATGCAGAACAAGTATTTATCGATAATCGATATGGTTGCCACACACCAAAACACTTGTTTAATATTGTTTAAAGTTGATC